TCCGCAGCAAAGAATTATATTTGTGAAGCATAAAAAAGTGGAAAGCTGAATGAAGAAGCTGCTGAGGTGTCTAGACAGCTCAGATGAAAGCAACGAAATCAATGGGTGTGAACACGCAGTATTCACGAGGCCCATGCAGGGGGCCCCTGGTGTTTCTACTCTCAAAATAAACTTGTTTATATATATTTTACTGCTTTATGCAGCAAAAGAAAAACTAAATACAACACAAACAAATACAGAAAAAAAGAAGGGGGGCCCCACCGCCGAAGGCTGCACGCAGCGAAGGCATAGGAGGCCCCCCCTTGTGCTGGTGCGAGGGGCTTGTTTAGAGAAAAAAAAATCAGTAAAAGCTATTAAAAAAGAAATAAATTAATTAATTATGTTTAAAAAGTAAATGTAAATGAAAAAAATTCATAAAATTTAACTGAATACAGTGCAGTTGCTCATCGCTGCTCGCTGTGTTCCGTGGTCGTGGGGGTCCTAGAGAAAGCACAGCACTGAAACTTTTGTAAAACAATGCGAAGTTTAATTTAATTTTATTTATTAATTAATTTAAAATATTATTTAATTTACAGTATATATTTAATTCAGAGGAAAAGCGTTTACTTTGTTGGGTGATGCTCGAATCCTTTGTGCAATGCATACAGAACAAGCGCTGGTTGGTGCTTTGCTGTTGCTTATAACAGAACTAAAAACAATGAAAAATGTAGATAAATAAAAAAGAAAAAAGAAAAATATAAACAATTAAAATAAAAAAAGAAGAAAAAAGAAGAGTTTATTGCGCCGAAATAAACAAAAAAGAGGAAAGATGAATTCAATGAGCAGAGAAATAAGAAATGAAAGAGTTGAAATAAACAGAAGATAAGGAAAGTTCTCCACTGTTTAAATAAAAAAAAAGAAAAAAATAAAATAAACAATTAAAATAAACAAAGAAAGGAAGAGAAGAAATACTGAAATACAAAAAGAAGCGAAAAAGAGGAATTTCAAGTTTCTTAATGAATAAAAAAGAAAAAATGAAGATTCAAAGAGTAAAAATAAAAAAGAAGAAAAAATGTTTAACCGAGTAAAAATAAACAAAGAAGAAGAAAGGATTTAAGGAGGAAAGATGAAAAAAGAATAAAGGATAAAAAAAACAGAGAAAAAGGAATACGTTACAAATTCAAAAAGAATAAAAAAGAAGTAAAGAGGAAGAGCCTAAAGAAAAAAATAAAAAAAAGAAGAAAAACAAAAAGGCTTATAAAGGTAATATGAAGAAAGTATAAGAACAAACAAATGTAAAAAAAAAGAGTTTGAATGAGAAAATAAAAAGAAAGAAAGAAAGATAAATAGATGAAAAAAAGATAAAATTAAATTCATAGAAATATAATATTGTATATTTCATCATCATTATAAATAAAATAAATTTATTTATTTTATTTATAAAATAAATTTATTTATTTATTTATTTTACTCGCTATTTCACTCACACCAAATGCAGCACCTCAGCATACACCCCAATGCGCACTTCAGTTTAAATAGAATGCAGTGATAAATATATTTCAAAAAAAAACAAAAATAAAAATTACAAACAACGACAATAAAAAAAAAAGTAGAAAAAGCAGCAACAATAAAAACGAAATCAACAAGAACAACAGAAACGAAAGCAATAACGAAAGCAAAAAACAAAAACAACAGCAACAAAAAAAAAAAACTAAAATACAACAACCACCACCACCAACAACCGAAAAAAAACTACAAACAACATATACCATATCCTGTTCATTTTCTATTTGAATTGAGGTGTATTATGTCTTTATCTTCTGTATATAAATATGAATAGCGATAGATTAATAAGGTTTAATGGTGCTTTGTTTGTACACCAGGGCAGCTGTTTCTCTCTTTATAATTAAAAAACTAAGAAAGCAAAAAAAAAAAAAAAAAGAAATAGAATATTAAAGTGTTCTTTATAAAGAAAACAAAGTTTGTATACATAGCTACAGACAGAGAAGAAAACACCGATATAAAGATAGCTACTAAGAGAAGTGAATTGCAAGCAAAGAAAAACAACAAATTCAAATAAAACTAAACTAAGCGGCAAAGAAAAAGAAACAGAGTAGTATACAATGAAACTCAAAAAAAAAAAAAAAAGAGAAATATATATTCTTTTGGGGTGTAAAACACAGAGGAGCATGTTAAGCTTAAATATAATTAAGAAGCAAAGAGAAATATATTGATATAAAGAAAAATATAAACAAAGAAGAACACATTCATATACAGTGAAATGAAAGTAAAGATGATGCGGTGGGTCTGTGTATGTATGCAAATATATAATAATTTTTCTTTATTTGGTGTGTATATAAACGAAAATATAAATATTTTTTATGTTTAAACTTTTTTTACTTCTTAATCAACATGTTATATATGGCTGTTTCTGCTGTTTTCTTTTTTCTCCTTTTTGGGTTATGGTGATGTACTTGTATATAAATTTATATTTTTCTGTTTCCTCTGCTCATTTCTTTGTGTTTAAAAATACTAAAGTAAAAACAAAACAACAAGTCAGCAGCCTGCAATGCGTATAAAAAGTCAAAAAAAAAAAAAATAAAAAATAAAATTTAAGGGGGGGAATACAAAGGAAAATAACAGGGCTCCTCTCAGCCCCTTGAGTAGCAATTGTGTATTCAGATCCGTTTTCTGTTGATGCATAGATTTTTAATTATAAATATGCAAAAAAAACTCGTTTATTTAGGATAATTAAACAAATAATTAAAGAAAAACATCCACACACAAACACACACATTCATACACAGAGACCTCACGGGGTGTATACGCAGGAAGGATGTAGCAGCAAGAGCACTAAACAAAACGAGTTGCAAATTCGGTGCAAAAGATAAAAGACATTTGAAAGGCTGAAAGAGAAATAAATAGAAAGGAAGATATATGCTGGAGCTATTCATACCCTTGCGGCTAGCTGCAGCTAGCTAGTAGCTAGCTACAGCTAGCCAGCAGCTAGCTGCTGCTAGTCAGCAGCTAGATACAGCTGCAGATTGTGGCTGATCCAGCTGTGCAGCTTGGCATCGACTGCACCGCTTTGTTTGTGTTTGAATGCATACAGAAGAGCTATAGACTGCATTCTTTTTCTCCTTAGATAACAAAAAATTAGAGCATTAAACTCCCGCAGCAGCACACAACAAATAAGCAGAGAAAGTAAAGCATTTGGGTCGATCTACAGCGGCGCATACACACAGACACCGCCGGATTAGCTTCAGTGCTTCATATGGTGTTGCTGCTCGTGCTGCTGCTGTGTATTAAACAAATCAATTGCCCCTGGGTAAGCAGCACCCCAGGAACTACAAATATAAATTTTAGCTGGAGTTCTCGATCATAGGCGAGGCCAGTCTTTGTGGTTGTTGCAACAGAGTCAAGTTCATCTTTCAAATAATACAATTAAGAATAACAGCAATACCCACTGCTCTTCAGTGCTGCATGTGTTCTCCTACTAGACATATAGAGACAAACACATGGAGATGAATATAATGTAGAGAAGAGAAAAAGAAAGAAACAGATGCAGTCAGTATGCTGCACTATACTGCTGCGAGGAAACAACCCCACATACAAAGGTNAAGAAAGAAACAGATGCAGTCAGTATGCTGCACTATACTGCTGCGAGGAAACAACCCCACATACAAAGGTGAAACGACTCACTATGCCGAGCCACTACAACTATAAGCGTAGACAAACTTGAACAGTTTGATGATATATTATAAAAACCCGAAACGTAAAAAAATTTTAAACAATATTTATTTAGTGCTTTCTGTAGCCAACCTGCACGCGCTAGAATTACATTAAACGCATTCATATACTCGGCACCACACACCTGAAACAAAGTAAGGAAATACAACAAGTTTCATGTTTCTCTCTTCTCGCTTCATGCCACTACAAACCACAGCTTTGTGGAAATTCATAGAATGCGGGCTGCGGTGGCTCTGTAGCTTCTGAAATTCATGTTCAATATTTTGGTTTTTTTTGCAGCTTTCTCGGCCTTCATAAGTGCGACGAGGGAAGCAAGGTGAAAATACACCGAAACCAAGTTGTACATGAACACTACACACCGAAATATACGAAAAAAAAAAGAGAAACAAATTCTCTTGAGCTCTTTCAACTCGTGACACGCAACAAATATTCAGCTTTCTTTTTGCATCACCGGCTGCTGTGGCTACTGTATTTGTATCTGCCTTCTGCGTCATAAATCAATCCATTCAATACGAAGCATAAGAAGAACATGATAAATAAAATAAAAACGAATTCATTCTTTTTATTTAAACTATTGTATTCATATATAAGACATTTGTTCAACGCCGGAGAGGCGTGCGGCTGAGATCCTGCGGCCGAGAGTTTCTAGGGATCGCCGCATGCAGGTGCTGCATTTCCTCTTAACTTCATGGAGCCTTCAGTGGAAAGCTGTGTTTTTTGAGGTTCTTTTGGCCATATCTTTCTGAATTTCAGTTCAATTAAGAAGATTCTGCCGCTTTAAAGGAGCGCAACGGCCCTCAGCATCACCGCAGCTCATCACCCTGAGCTGGCGCTGTTCTTACTACGGGTACAGCCGATTCAGGAGTCTACCTTTGCTCCTTTTACGCGGATAAAACG